ACCTTGACTTCCACTCCCTTCACTCAGCATTCCCCTGACAGTTATTCAATCTGATCAATGGCAATTGGCTGTGGAGCAATCATTATAACAGTGAGTCAAGATCTTGCCAGGGATTTTTGTTCTGTTTTGGCATCCATAATGGAATTCGGTGTTTTTTTTTCTGATACGGATACTCTTTTACACCAGAGATTTTTGTTCTGTTTCGGCATCCATAATGGAATTCGGTTGCTTTTTTTTTTCTGATACGGATACTCTTTTATTTAATAAAATAAAACCCCACTTTGAAGAGACAAATAATCTAAACAAATTGAGCAAAGAAAGTGTAAGAATCACATTCCTAATATCTACACAATGAACTTAAAGCACTAAAAAGGCGAAGTGATACCATCAATAAAAGCTGCAGAGCAACACACACATTAGAATGATACATAATATTTCAAAAAAACATGAACAATAGGTTTTGATTTTCTTAATGGCAAATAAAAATATAGACCGTATATACTCCAGTTGACCCCTATACCTCCCCAAGATCATCCAGGCACCATGCCTAGTTCTGTCTTTTAACATTTTTTTCTTACACTGCTGATTTAACCATTTTTTGTGGTGACTTCATGCTGTCCTGAAATCACCTAATGATAAGGAAAAACCTGTGACTTCACCACATACAACTGCGTAGTGGATGTTCTTAGTATTATGTTTACTGATTGGTACATCTTACAAAGAAAGCTAACTCCTAATTTTGGAGCTTACTGAGCTTACTTTAATTTCATACATTTAGCCTGTCAAATTGTAAGGAAGGAGATGACATAGGTGCTGGAGTTGGGAGTGTGGAGGGTTCTGCAGCATCCACTGGCCTGAAGGGGTTTCCACTGTATACAGAGTTTACAGTTTGGTTCACTGGCTCCCAGCACCCCCACTATAAAAATTGTTCCAGCCCTTCTTGGAGAAGAAATCCAAACTAGAATCTTTGGCAGATATTATGCACTTCCCTTGACACATGTACCAAAGCTGGCAAAATAGACTTGATGTATTCTGCTGCGAAGAGTAAAAAAATAGAAGGTCAACCCAGGTTACTTTGAAAAATACCAGTGAATGTAATGACCCTGCATCAGATTGATCTTGTCTATGTAGCTGCATAACAGGAACATCGTGGACAGGTGGGAAGGCAGGCTTCCCCACACTATCCCAGCAACATGTCTCAACTCTGACTTGGATGGCACATATGCAGGAGTCAGAGGATAATAATCCAGTCCTTGAAGCTTCTATTACTATTGGCAAGGGAGCCAGATGCAATGGTGATTTTTGTGATGCAGGTATTTAGAAACTGGGTAAGTCATTATTTCTTTTCATTTGATCAAACTTTTGCCAGGTGGCGGTAATGATTTTCAGACCCTGCTAAAACAAGCTGGATTTAGGGAGGTGACCTAGATACAAAAAGCTTCATAACCTGTCTAATTCTTGCAGGTTGTTCTTAAGGAACAATAAGGAAAAAAATCCTAAGGAGGACTAGTAAAACATGGCAAAGGAAATAATACTGATCCTCTGGCATCTGTAGGATAGAGCTGACTGGTGCCTACAGTTACCTAGTGTTACTGGCAGGGCTTAGATAATCTACCTATTATTCATCAGGCCTAGGACTAAAGTCACCAAGTATGGTGAAAAATGCTGTAATGCCATTTAAGACCACCTCTACTAACCTCAAAGATATAAGTGTATGTCCTGTTTATTGGGTATCACTAACCCACTTTCTATTTAATGCTCTTTAAAATGTAACTATAATGTTTCTTGCCTTCTTTTTCTTCGTGAATTCAATCCAATTTTCTCTTCTCACCCCCACTGCAACAACATATGGTACATCTTTCTGTAACCTTTTTAGTGTCTTAACTCTTCTCTCCCTCATTTTATCTTCCTTTTTCCTACAATATTTTGATGGCACTTCCTTCCCTATATTTTCTCTCTCGTTTTCTTCCACTTTCTCCCCTAAGCTTTTCCCCATATGTAATGAGGATGAACACCTCACCAGCTATATAAAGCTTCCTCATACATCCAACTTTTCAGGACTACAATCAGGTTTTAAAAAATTGTATTGTGAAGGGAGCACCAGCATAGTCTGGTGGCTTCCTAAATCTGAGCAGCTCAGACAGCTGATACATGTCTGGAAATAGTGTAGAGAGACAACAGGTCCATTGCAACAAACCACTCACATAAAGCAATAAGAGTCTCACCCCCATCTCTCATTAAAATATATGTTTTATCAGGCACTGGTTTTGTTAGCAGAACTTCTGTGGGGCATGTCTGGGAAGAGGAGATGAGCTCCCAGCCACCTTATCTGAGCCACTCTGATTACAGCTGCTGAATAAGTACATCTCATGTCCTGCTTCCTCTGCCGACTCTTCTGATAATTAAATGGATCATGGATTTGTACGTAGAATGGGCACTTGGAGCTCTAAATTTCAGACTGTCCTTAGTGCTATACAGGCAGTCCCCGAGTTACGCGGATCCGACTTATCCGCAGTTACGAACGGGGATTTTCTCGCCCCGGAGGACTGGAGCGGTGGGACACCTGGTCCTGCCGCCCGCCTCCTCCGGGGAGAGAAAAGCTGCTCCCCATCTCCCTCGGCTGCTGAAAGAGGCCTTATACTTTTTAAGAAGAAAAATAATCAATTATATAGCAAATGGAGCTATGTCATGACATTGTTTCCATTTGCTTCATATTTAGTCTAAGTTACCTTATTTTGTGATTTTTCTGTGAAGTTGGATGTAATATAAGGTTTTCCTTGGATTTAAAGCAAATGAATCTAGGCTAAGATGAAGCTGAATTCAAAATTCAGATTTTATTAATTCTTCTGCTCTTGGGCCCCAGTAAAACAGCATGAAGGTGTACAGTCAGAATAACTGTAAATTGTGAAATGGGACATGAATGATGATTTTGGTATTTAGCAACAGGAGTGCAATATGTTGAAGTAAAATAGCTAGTTTCTTCTTGCTGATAAGCTGAAACTTGAATTACTTTCCTGCTGCTCTCTGAATATTTCCATCTTATAGAGCTGAATTACAGGCAGTCCCCGGGTTACGTACAAGATAGGGACTGTAGGTTTGTTCTTAAGTTGAATCTGTATGTAAGTCAGAACTGGTGTCCAGATTCAGCGGCTGAATCTGGATGCCAGTTCCGACTTACATACAGATTCAACTTAAGAAGAAACCCTACAGTCCCTATCTTGTACGTAACCCGGGGACTGCCTATAATTCAGCTCTATAAGATGGAAATATTCAGAGAGCAGCAGGAAAGTAATTCAAGTTTCAGCTTATCAGCAAGAAGAAACTAGCTATTTTACTTCAACATATTGCACTCCTGTTGCTAAATACCAAAATCATCATTCATGTCCCATTTCACAATTTACAGTTATTCTGACTGTACACCTTCATGCTGTTTTACTGGGGCCCAAGAGCAGAAGAATTAATAAAATCTGAATTTTGAATTCAGCTTCATCTTAGCCTAGATTCATTTGCTTTAAATCCAAGGAAAACTTTATATTACATCCAACTTCACAGAAAAATCACAAAATAAGGTAACTTAGACTAAATATGAAGCAAATGGAAACAATGTCATGACATAGCTCCATTTGCTATATAATTGATTATTTTTCTTCTTAAAAAGTATAAGGCCTCTTTCTCTCTCACATCTCACTTGCTCTCCCAGCATGTGAGATCTAATGTTTATAAGGCTTTCCTTACATCAACCTTGACAGAACAATAGGTTGAAATATGAAAGAGATACAATCATTTCAGGTATGGAAAATGCAGCCCCAATAAGTTATGTTTATGGAACACTTATATTCCATGTGATTCATAAGTTACCATTTAAATTATGGTGTTGCAGAAAGAAAACTTAAGTTCATGATGTTTTGAGTCTGACTCTTCACTGTAATCCAAACTGTTGTGTTTAAATAAAGGTTTACAGAAAGTAATCACTTGAATTGAAAAAGTGCTGAACACCTGAAACTCCCATGAGTTCAGTGACATTTGTGGGTACCTACTACCTCTGAAAATGAGCCATAAAATTGTTTGCAATGAGTTCACAATAAAAAATACTACTTCACATTTTCTAAATATTTTCTATACTTCACTGCAAAGCAGCACCAGTCCTAATGACTCCTACCCCCAAGCGAATTTGGGATGTGAATGGTAACTCTGCAAATATACTGTCTCAATCGACATTCCATAGAACTTAATACAGGTTGTACCTCCCTTACCTAGGATTCCCTGGTCCAGCAACATCCGTGGTCCGGCACTGACCACGGATGTTCCTGGACCACAGAACCCAGGAACAGGGAGCTCTGGCGGTGGGGCAGGAGTGTCGTAGAGGGTACCGGCAATTTAGCCACGAGCCCGTGTGTGTATGTGTGTGTGTGTGTGTGTGTAGAAACAGGCAGAGGGGGAATTCTGGCCCTGTCAGCGGTTGCAGACCTCCGGCCCCAACTTCAGAGCCAAGCGGATATGCAGCTCTGTTCCAGCTGCGCAGCTCCAGCCATGGCACTCTGGCTCTGACAGCAGTGGGGCCAGGGGCATCTGGGGGACTGGGAGCGCACTGGGGGACTGGGACAACAGCGGGGGCAGGTTGGCACCCTAATCTGATGCCAGCTAGGTCAGGAGAGGAAGGACCTCCTATGATCTGGTAAATCCCCTTGTTTGGGACCACCCAGGTCCCAAGAGTGCCAGTCCAGTGAGGTCCAACCTATATATGATCTGCATTCTGTACATATTAGCTATAGCTTACTCTATTCTTGGTTTACCTATGTGTCCTCTTTTCCTCTGCAGTAACAACATAGTACCCCCAGCTGACCTATATCCCATTTAACCAAAAATCACTGTTTCTCCATGAGATGTCCAATTTGTGGCTTACTGCAGACACTATGACTATCACAGTCTCATGTACTTACATATATTTTTTTCTCTCTGAAAATGTCTCATAAAAAGTTAATTATAAAATGTAATCTCACCTATAACTTTTCCCAGAAAGAGTGCCTTTGGGGAGTTGAACTGAATATCAGATGTTGTTGGCAGACTGTAACTTGCTGGAGGATAGTGATCAAGCTGAGGAAAGTAAAAAACAAGAGGAGACTTTTAGAATCATATCCTGTTACACTGCTAGTGATGTGGAGATTACAGCCCCATTTAGAGTTCTGTTTCTGGATGATCTTGTTTTATCTGTTATACCGTTGATAGCACCCTCCACAGTCAAGGTCAAACCAAAGTTTTGCCGGGAATTCACTATACTGTCAGTGGTGAGGAGTAAATTTACGGTAGTTGGGAACACTCCTATTATGCTCTCAGAACCCTGCACAATGAATTAATATGTGAGGTGTGAAAGGCCTCAAGGAACACTGTTTTCTAGAAGATTCTGAGCTCATGCAAGCACAATTATTTCTACAAACGTGACTATATGCAGGCAATACTCTCAAGGAACTACAGTTACTGGTAACTAACTTCTCTATCTTGCTTATACAAACTACCCGTCTGAATGCAGTAGCTCTTGGGCTTATTAAATGGGGCAGGAAGAAAATGCACTGGTTATGCCATAGGACCTTTAAGAAATGTAGATATGCTTTTCAATTGCACGCAACTTTATTATCCACCAACTCTTTAAAGCTCAGTCATACATGAACATACCATGTTAAAGACTTAAGATTCAGTCATGTTTGAATTAACTGCATGGAAAAGATTGTAGTAATATTTTCTTACCTTAGACAAATTATAATTTTTTTACAGTCTCACATAACTCAAAAAATGGCTGAACAGATTTCCTCAGACTTGCAACAAGAAAAAGTTCACCTTCCAGCAGGCATGTAAAATTTCAATTTAAGAGAAGATTTTTTTCCCCCAGAAATTTTAGGCAGGTGAAAACAAAGAGTTAAAAATAAAACTAGAATGCATTAACCACAGTAGGTGCTACAAAGCACACATTAAATTAAGTACTTGATATCAGTTTCCATGGTAAAAGGGAAACTGGCATGTAGCATTACATGCATAATTTCCATTAATATTAATATGAGTTACATGTGCATCAGATAAGGAAAACAGACCCCTCTTCTTTCAGAGGACAAATGGTAATGGCTTAAATCTGAGTCAGGAATCCAAAACAGTGCAGCATTCAGTGATGTTGTCATCAGAATCATCACGGTTCCTGACTAACAAAGGTTTGAGTGAGGCATGTCAGGAACAGGCTTGAAATAATTACGCAGGGCCTGATTTTTCAGTCTCTCACAACTAGTTTTATATTAGTCTAACACCACTGACTTCAAGAGAATTATTTCTGAGTCATTCTTGTGTGGGAGGAGAATCACGCTCATGTGTGTGGGAAACCAGAATAGAACTAATTTTCCTGGTTTTTCTCTGACTTACGTTTCTCTAAATCAAGGATAACTGCACTGAAGTAAAGCCACTGTCAATGGGAAGATAACTAGGCCCAGAAAAACTGAACTTTATTTTGAAATTGTCTAATGTTTTCTTTGAACTCTCCATCTCCATCACTCACTAAGAAAAAGCGTTGTCTAAATACAGTAAAACTCTGATGGTCCGGCATCTGACGGTCCGGACCTCCTGATGGTCCGGCACCATCAGGAACCCGGAAGTGCTCTGGGCAGCCGGACCATTGGAGCTGCTCTGCCCCCAGCTTACCCGATTCAGCCGCTGCTAAAACTGACCAGCGCTGAATCCGGGAAGCAGGGGGCAGAACAGCTGGGGTGCTGCTGGGTAGGTCCAGTAGTGCTGCCCCTCGGGGCTGCGGGACCAACCCAGCAGCACCCCAGCTGGCCCAGATTCAGCCGCTGCTGAAATTGACCAGTGGCTGACTCCAGGAAGCCCGAGACATAAGGGGGAAAGAGGACCACTTGACACGATTCCCACTAGTACCTGAACTGTCTCGAGATCTTTTATCCAATTTTTGCTCTGATAGACTTAATCTGATAACACTGATAGAATCACAGAACACAATAGACAATATATATAAACAAAAGAATATATTGACACTAAACATCAAGGTGCTCACATTATTTAGATTTTATTTCAATACTCGTATGTGAAAATATCAAAGTCTGAAGTGTTCTGGTTACCTATTCCACACCTAGAGGTTTCAATTTCCATTGATTTGAATTTCTCTTCCCATCTTCTGTAAAGTTCCACTACTGGGTGTGACATGAGACCATGATCAACTGGCTGGCCTAATGCAGATCTAATTCTAGTCTTAACTCACTGAACAAAGCATTTCATTAATTGCAGATAGAAAAAAATCAATAGTATTTTCTCCTGAATGATTTTACACTGATTAACTGTTCTTTTACTACTTGAGATGGTTATTACTCAAGATTTACAAGATAAAGGGCTAAATCATTTGAGTTCAACATTCCATCCTATTAAATAAAAAGGCAAGCAATACTTCATCATGTATGAACTCTAACTTAGATTTTTTTTCTTCTTTGTAGCCAAACATGCCCCACAGGATGTGAAAAGTATAACTACAATATACTCTTTCAGCTTAAACTACAGGCAGTCCCCGGGTTACGTACAAGATAGGGACTGTAGGTTTGTACTTAAGTTGAATTTGTACTTAAGTTGGAACTGGAGTCCAGATTCACCCGCTGCTGAAACTGACCAGCGGCGGCTGAATCGGGGACTCCTGGGGCAGAGCCGGACTATCAGAAGGGAGGGCTATGAGGGGGTCTGGAGTAGCATCCCCCCACCCCACCCCAGACCCTTCATAGCTCCCCCTTCTGATAGTCCGGGATATCTGATAATCCGGCACCCCCTGGGTCCTAAAAATGCCGGATTATCGGAGGTTTACTGTATTTCTTTTTCCTGTAGCACAGCATTCTAGCAGTGAGAGCTGTAAGTTTGAGATGACTAGGACAACTTTTATATTTATTTGCACTGTGGGAGTACCTAAGAGCACCAGTCATGGATCCTGGTGTGCTAGTAACTGTAAAAGCATATAGCAAAAACATGGTCCCTGCTCCATAGATCTCATTATGGCTGGATAATGAACCTGGAAAGAAAAGTGAAATTAAACTGACATTCAGTGTGAGGATTTTTATCAAAAAATGTTAGGCACCGATTCCACCCGTCTGTTGCATAGGGAAACATCTTTTGACTTTAGTGCAAGTTTCATGTGTGGAAGACTACAAGGCTAATCTATTTTTCATTACATAGGACCAGGGTATGGCCTGTTCTTCATATGCCTGCTGCAGTGCATTTCCTCAGCAATACAGATGACCTCTGCTATCTATTTGACCTCAGTTCAACATCTTGGTGCTTCTGTTCAAGGTGCTCAATGAGCTGGGCCCATGCTCTGGGATAAAGACTGTTTACCAACTCTGCTCCTCAGGCACAATGACACTCTGAAGGGGGCCAGTCCCAAACTGTGGAACTCCCACTGGAAATATTGACCATCAGAGACCTCACCAACGTCTCCAAGTGCCAGGAAACTTCTTTGACCTGGCCTTCTCTAATATAAACACACACTACTGTGTACATTTAAAACAATCTCCCTACCCCAAACCCACTAAAACAAAATATGCTGAAGTATGGGGTTACTATAGCCATCTTAGCTGAAGCTACCAAAAAGAGTGCCTGAGACTGACTCCAGGCATGGGAAATTTCTCCCAGAACAGTTTAAGTTTGGCAAAGTTACAAGTAACTGAAAATAGGGTTTTGTAATGGGAAGTGTCAGAAAACCTCAGTCACATGTAGCGATACTTGTGCTGCCTAGAACAGAATGAAGAAGAGTGAGGAATTCTCCTTTCATCCCTGCACCAGCTACCTATATCATGGAGAGAAGTGTGTGAGGGAGTTTCTCTTCTCTCTCATGTAGGTAGATACAAATAAGGAGAAACCTAAACCTTGACTCTGCTTTTTTCCATCCAGAGTGCTGGCCAGTACATGTCAATGTGTGGGGAGATATGCTGTGCCAGAGAGGGGGAAACCAAGAGGCAGATTGTGAATCTCTGAATCTCTGAATCATAATCTGTTTCTCAGTCTGCTCTATACGTGGGGTTTATGGCAAATCTTCAATTGAGCCCACACTGAGTATTTTGAGCTGGTGAAATTTTGCTGTTGGTATCTGCATGGAAATGTTCAAATTGAAGTAAAAACTGCAAAGTAGATGAAGAAGCCCAAAAGTGCAAGTTTCAGATATCTTCATGGATCTCATGGAAGCTCAACTCAACTAATTTAACCACCCATTTACTTACCCTAGAAAAACAGGAACTTGGACAAATGACTAAAATAGATGACGAACCTTCACTTTTTAAATACAGAGAAATGGTTCTTTCATGGGTACAGGAACAAGGAAAAGATTTCTGATGGTACTAGAATCCAGACCATGGAACGAGCTCTGGTCTATATCCAGACCCAACATTTGTGAGTTGTGCCTTCACTAGTTTTGACACTATGAATTTAAGGGAATAATGTTCACCAACAAAGACGTAGTGAGCATATATGGTGCTTAAGGAAGGGTAGGTCAGTGTTGAGATTTTTCTCTTATTTTTATTATTTCAAACAATCTAACAAAAGAAACCACAATTTTACAATAATCTAAGCGAGGACATTTATAGGTCAGTGAATAAAGCAACATAGCTGAAACAAAAAACAAGACTAGCTACATTTCTACCACTAAAGCAACATAGGTGCTTGGAAGGACTGGATTCTTTCTAAAAGTCATGCTTCACTGCCATCCAGTGGCTGCTCAGATATCAGCTGCTAGAACTAAACTGCTTGCAATCATCCTACGAAATACAGTGATTTCTCAGTCTAATGTGGAGCAAGACTCATAATAGACAAGGAATTAGTGCTATCACATGCTATTTGAAAAGGATATGGCATTATTTAATTAATACAAAACATCTTTTGCATACACATAGGATGGTGTCATGAATATGTGTTAAATTATAGTTTGATTATCTTGATGAGTTTTCATTACAGCTTCTTGTGCTAAATTACAGTTTGATTATCTTGATGAGTTTTCATTACAGCTTCTTTTCTTTCAAAAATAATTAATTTTATTTGAGCGGAATTTGAGCTACACTGTGTACACAGTACAA